GCGTGGTGGCCCAGCAGGCCCTCGGGGCAGGGGTGGCATGTCCCCATTGGGAGCCCCCTCGGGAGCAGCGTTCCCGTGCTGGAACGGCGCAGGTCTGTGAGGCTCCACGTCAGGCACGGACAGAGAGTCAGCATCGTGCAGTTCAGAAGGGGAGAGATTCCCATTCACAGTGGGATCTGGAATGCTGCTACTCGTGGTGTTATAAACATAAGGGAAAGGGGGGTTAGCCAGGTAATTGGGGATGATTGGCAGGTCTGAATCTTGCTTTAGGTCCGGGAGTTCATCGTCTTCCACTGTAAAACAAACAAAGCAACATTCTCTGAGACTTATCTTAGGGGGAAAAAAGAATTATTGCTATTGCACTGGGGGCTTTAGGTTTATTTTATGATTATGATGATTATGATTATGATTATGATTATGATTATTATTGTGAGGGAGTCGAGTGTTAAAGGCATCACAGGTTAAAAAATGGATCAGGAAGACCTGCACCTTTTTTTTTTTTTCACAGTAAACAGAACCGTGCTCAGGTGTTGCCATACAGTGAACACAAAAGCTGAGTCTGATTCTAGTAATTCTGGGGGTACTAATTCCTTGTAAATGTGGCAGTACTTGTGTTTTGGTTTGGTTTAATCCATAGCAGCGCGTTGTAACAGGGTCTCTGGTGGTGTCATTTTCATAATGCATCAGGCAACAAAAAACAAAGGGTCATATGTTGTTCGATATTAAGGCAAGGGATAAAGGGAAGGGAACATGCAGTACTGGGAGAGCTGCAGCATTACCCATTCAACAGCTGGGAGACAACAATGAAAACAAAACCAGACACAGGAGTACAAAGGGAAGGGAAGAGTTTGTTAATCGACCACATTTCAAATTACTTATCACCTCCAGCAGCAAATCCTGCTCTGCTCCAGCAGTTACAAACAAGATAAAGATGCTCCACCAATGTCCTTTAATGAGCCGCTTATCTGAGCTGCTAATTTTCGATTTATTCAACACAGAATGTCAGGAAAATTAGGTGTATAATCATATAAGGGCTTCCTACAAATTCAAGAGATTTTTCTCCCGTTGCCTTTCTAAAAACAGGAAGCTGTGTCTGTCTGCCCCACGGCATTCTTCAAAATAACAGTTTTTCCTAATTTTTCAGTGTTTAGAAAATAAAGTTTGGCTAGCTGGGTGTGGAATTTGTTGGTAATGCTCTTTTCTTAAAATCTGTTTTCATATCAAGTAAACACTAGAAATCAAGTGTAGTTAGTACTGAAATCCAAACACATGCAAAACAACGACTGGAGCACAGATGCTTAAACAGCCTTTTACTAGTCTTTGATGGTCACATGGCACAGTCACTAGGTTACCTCCCAGCATCTTCCTGATCTCTCTCTTGGAAGTTAACTGGGCTGGCCTCTCTCCTTTCTTGGTCAGGATGTCCTTGTCTGCTCCTGCGTGCAGCAGGTAAGCCACCACGGCCGCGTGGTTCCGCTTACAGGCCCAGTGCAAACATGTCCTGCACATGGAAAACATCAACTCTGTGTCAAAGCAGATTCATTTCCACTCATTCTTGCTGCCTGTGAGAAGAACAAGACCTAATGCATGTCTAGTAAAATAGGTTTGAATTGCAAACTTTCTGGGAAAGTACACTGGATTCAGAGCCTGCAACGGCACTTGCTGATGTCATTTTCTCTCGCTCTAATGCTCTTGATACCAAGTTGCCAAAGTAGTGTTTTTAAAGTTCGAGATTTTTTCAAAAAGCCTTTTCCACTTTGGGTTTTTGTTTTGCTTTGGTTTGTCTGTCTATTACAGAACAGTCTTGGCTTTGGTGTCCTCAGGTGGATGTGAATGGAGTGTCAAAATGTTTGTATACATCCCGAAACAGCCTGCAGGGTCCCTTATTGAAAGGGAAAGCCATTTTTAAACTTGGTTTAGAGTTTAGAGTCAATAATGAATATTTCTAGTTAGACATGAACACGTAAAGCCGAGGTTTGTGTTCTGACAGCCTCTGCTGTCTCAAGCTGAAAAAAAAAATAATAAAAAAATCAAACCAAACAATATAAAGTAAGTGCACAGTGACCTGGAGAAGGAGCAAAAAATCAAGCCCACCAATATAAAGTAAGCGCACAGTGACCCGGAGAAGCGGCCAACAGCGCGGGAGGTGGGATGGGGACCCCCTATTTGCGACCCCTCCGGAGCAGGGATCGCTCCACAGAGCATTCCGCGGCGGACCGACCTTTTATTTCCTTCTTCATTTTCCACCTCGCGTGAAAAGCGAACCCGCGACAGCGCCGAGGGGCTCGGGGAAGGTGAAGGAGGGGGGGGGCCTTACCATCCGTTGACTTCGTTCTGGGAGTTGAGGCCGACCCCCAGCTCCACGAGCCGCCGCACCTCCTCCGCGTCCCCCAGCGCCGCCGCCTCCCGCAGCCGCTCCTGCCGCTCCCGCTCCGCCAGCTCCGCGCCCGCCTCCCGCATCCCCGCCGGCCCCGGGCCCAGCGCCGGGACCCTCGGCCGACACCCCCGCCACGGGGGAACCTATTGCCGGTGACAACCCGGCCCCGACAGCCGGTTCCGGCGCAGAGCAGGGCGGGCGGGGCGCGGTCGCTGCCGCCGGCCGGCGGGACGGGGCGCTCCCGCGGTCGTTTTATGTCATTTAAAGTACAAATGCACAATAGAGGGTGTCTCCTGCCCTGCCTGTTGTTCTTGCGGGCTCTGCAATCGTTATAGAATGAGTCGTGGAATCGTGGAATGGTTTGGGTTGGAAGGGAACTTGAAAGATCATCTCGTTCCATCTCCCCCCACCACGCACAGGGACACCTTCCACTCGACCAGGTTGCTCCAAGCCCCATCCAAGCTGCCTTTGAATACTTTCAGGGATTGGATATATTTCTAGCTCACTAATTTAAGCAAGATTCAGTTAATCCAGTGGTTTTACCCAGGTTAAGGAAACAGTGTTATGATGGCCTCTGTTCTGCACTAGTCTGCTGCTGAAGAGGGTAAATGGAGGGATTCAGAAAAAATTGGGCTTATCTGCTGGCTGCCATGAAAGGAGGTACTAAAGAGATTTTTAAGGTTATGATGATATGAGTTGGGAGGGACCTTGGGTTAGGAGGGACATTAAAGATCATGTCATCCCAACTCCCTGCCATGGACAGGGACACCTTTCACTAGACCAGGTTGCTCCAAGCCCCATCCAGCCTGGCTTTGGACACTTCCACGGGAGCATTCCATTGTTCTGCTTAGGAAATTTTTGCCATCTTTGTGCATTCTCAGCAGAATCAACCCCTAAACACCCTCCCTCCCCCTCCAAAATTAAAATAAAAATCTACAGCTTCCTGCAAATCAGTTTAAAAGATTATAGGTAATTCTTTCATTTGTATTGCTTGGTTTGAAAAGCTAAGTTTGGTCGTTGTGGATTTGTCCTAAATCAAGTTACAGAACAGTTGGTAAAAATTTCACAACTATTAAAAGTCAAAATACTTATTTTGAGCTCCAGTCAGACTTTTCTATTCCAGCGTGCTCTGTGCAGCCACACTGATATGCCGGGGAATTCTGCAGCAGTTCTCCAGGATACCTGTTTGCTTTCTAAAGCAATCAGAGCAATACAAAAAAGCTGAAACAACCTCAGTTCTGCCCCGATTTCCAACACAAACACCCGCCTTCCCTCCCGCCCCCAAACCCAGACTGTGGGATATTGACTGAAAATTCATGCCAGTTGTGTGGCACTGATTTCAATTACACTCTTCCAACAGTTCCAGTGGGTTGTTAAATCATTACAAAGCTGCAAAGCTTGAAAGAAGTTCCTGAACGGAGGTGTTATGGAGAGATGTCCAAAAGGTAAGTCCTCAGGTAACACAGGTGCTTGCATGAAGCCCTCAGTGATGCTAAACAAGGCTGCTGTGAATCTTGTAGTACGTTTTACAAGGTCTGCATGAATACAGGCTTCAAGCTTTTAAAAAATATTATTTAATTAAAATTTTAATTCATTTCATGCACTTCAGTGGTTTAAAATGATGATGAGAAACTGGAAAATAGTTGAAAATTGCTGTGTGAAATTCAGTACATATGAGGTATAAAATCACATCCAGAAAGGAAAACAACAAAATGGGCCAAAACTGGTTCCAATGTCAAACAGGAAGACTTACATTAAATATGAAGCACACCCTGCAACGTGTCAAGTATGGGAACGCGCTGCCCAGGGAAGTGGTGGAATCTCCACCCCTGGAAATGTTCAAAAAACATGTGGATGTGGCATTTGAGGACACGGTTTAGTGGTGATGGTGCTGTTGATAGTTGAACTTACAGGTCTTTTCCAACCTAAACTGTTCTGTGATTCTACAAATTCCTAAAGGAATACCCACAGCTGGAGGCACTCAGGAAAGGGAATACCCTCTGGCACAGGCACTCTGAGTGTCAGTAACCGTGCACCGGGAATGGTTTGGGTTTTGCCAGAGTGCAGAGTGGACTGTGCCTGGGCCATGTCCCTGTGCCAGGACACCACACAGGACTGGACACAGTCTTAAGCTGCGCCAGGGGAGATTTAGGTTGGACATTAGGAAGAAGTTCTTTACAGACGGAGTGATGGGGCATTGGAATGGGCTGCCCAGGGAGGTGTTGGAGTCACCATCCCTGGAGGTGCTTAAGAAGAGACTGGATGTGGCGGTCTGTGCCATGGTCAAGTAGACAAAGTGGTGTTAAGCCAAAGGTTGGATTTGATGATCACAGAGTTCTCTTCCAACCTAGTTGATTTTGTGATTCTATGACACCGCACAGGGCAGGACACTGTCTGCCATGACACGGCGCAGGGCTGGACACACTGCCATGACACCACCCAGGGCTGGGCCCTGTGTGGCTCCCCCCGTTCCCCACACCGAGCCACACACACAGGTGTTGCTGTTCTCCGTTTCGCCGTTTCCAGGGGGTTCGCCCCCTCAGGCCCCTCCACTCGCCCCGCGGCTCCCGGGGCCGGGCCACGAGCCCCGGCCGTGAGGGCCCGGCCCGCGCGGTGCATTGTGGGCAGGGCGAGCGCCGCCGCCATTTTGTCTCTGTCAGGCGCGGCGCGGGCGGTCGGGGTGAGGCGGCCGAGCTGGTGTGTGGCGAGGGGGGATTCGGCCAGGACGACACGATGATATCGGCCGCCCAGCTCCTCGACGAGCTCATGGGCCGGGACAGGAACCTGGCCCCGGATGAGAAGCGCAGCAACGTGCGGTGGGACCACGAGAGCGTGAGTGCAGCGGGGCCGCCTCTCCCTTCCCTCTTCTCGCTCCACTCCCGCATCGCGCAGGGCCGGGGGGTTTGTCGGAGCGACATGGAAGGGTTCTCCCGGCCCGGGGGTAGCCGCGAGAGAAGGGGAAAGGGGGATAGGGGTGAGGTGCCGGGCAGCGCGAGGGGTTCCCCGTGGTTTGGCGGGGTGCGGGCCGGGCCCTCCACGCTGGGCCCCGCATGGCGGCCGGGGGCGGGCCGGGCCCTCCGTGCGCGGGAACCGCGCCGGGCCCTCACCGGGAGCAGCAGGAGGGGAAGAATAAGATACCGCCACAGCCAGGCTGTTGTTGTGCTGCTGGAGGGACAGCCCCGTTGTTTGGGTGTCGGCGGCCGGGGCCGCGGTTAACGGGAACGGGGGGTCCGAGAGGGCCGGTCGTGGCGGAGCTCTCCCTTAGGGAAACACAAACACAAGGAAGGGAGAGGGGGCGAGGTTAAAGGAATTCTGCGCTTCTGACTAGAAGCTGCTGGCTTGTGCGAAGGGGAATAAGACAGATGTTCGTAGTTTGGAAGACAAATGTCTCTGGATCTCTTCCTGACGGTGGTTTTGGGGGAGGAAGCAGGAGGGTCTGGGAGTACCGGCTTTAACGTCTGCAGGTTGTAGCTCTAGAAAAGCCGTAAGACTTGTCCAACTGAAGCTTTGGCTAAGAAATAATGACAAGAGATATGTCATTATTAGGATGGATAGTACACGTTTGAATTTGCCTTGCAATGCACGAGATAAGGACCAGTATCTGTCCTGATGTAGATTTTGCAAGTCCCTCCCTTGAAAAATGCTGCTCTATAGGTAAGCAGTGGGAGTCAGGAGGAAATTGTGAGTTCAGGAAGTTTTCATGACCTTCTTTATGTTTTTCTGGACTTACTAAGCAAATATCATTATTCAGTTAAGAGTTCAGTTACATTTTCTTTTGATTGCGAGCTCAAAATAAGAAGGACTTATATGAAGTATGAAGTGAATGGCTTGAGCCGTGTTGGTCCAGGTAGGACAAATAAGGGGTTTGGTTTGATTTATTCCTTAACGTGAGAAAGACTTTTTTTCTCTTGTTGGTTTTATTCCTTCCCCCCTTCCCCCACCCCCATTCTCTTTTAACAAGTTTGGATAATTTTCTTCATCTTCAAATGAACAAATCACAGAATATTTTCAGGGGGTTTTTCACATGCAGTTTTAGGCTGAAGAGTTTGTAAGCACAGGACTCTGTCTCTAAGCTCTTGCTCAGTTCTGTTGTTTCAGAAATGGGCCTTGTCTCTCCTTCCCAGCCCTTTGACAGTTCAGACAATAAGATCTGTCCTGTGTCTGAGTCCAGCAGGAAAGTTATGGCCTTAGGATTGAGCCTTCAGTTTTGCAGGAACTGCTGCTCTTTGCTCACCTTTTGCTTTTCTTTATAAGTTTATAGGATCGTGATTAAACACAACTTCTCTGAATGTTTTCCTGGGTTCCTGTAGTCATCTGACAAATTCATAAAACCCCAGTATTACTGCTCTTAAAACATGTGTTCAACTTTCTGCATCGCCTAAGGATGGTGACATGTTTTAAAACACAGGAAATGCAAATAAGGTTCAGATAGTAACGTTCATTCCTCTGCCTGACTGCTCTTCTGCTTTTCAGATGAAATACATGTGCTAATGTCATTTTTTCTGAGATTAGACATAAACATGCAGCCTTTTCAATGTCAGCATGTTGTATTCCTCTCAAAGTTTAGGGTTTTGTGTCACATTTCATCAGTTTTAGGCATAGAAGATTATCAGAAGGAGCTGATCTGTATTTTGTTTATCATTTGGAAATTGCATCTAGGTGGCTCTGAGAAACTGGAAGATGCAGTGAAATACAAGATGGGAGTGGAAGAGGAAGGTGTGTGAGCAGAGTGTGTCATAGCTGGGCATTTATTTGCAGAGCCAGTGAAACATGTTGATCATATGTTGTAAAACGTTTTGTAGAACTGAAGTTCTTACTTTAAAACTTTGACATGATTAAAAACTTTAATCTTTAAAAATTGGAATCCCACTTGCTCTATATTTCAGTATTGCATCATGTCCTTAGGTGATCAATCCTAGTTTTGGCGTAAAGACTTTGTTTTGTATGAGGGAGATAATTGTATCATATATTTCAGTTTTTCTGCTTACTTCTAAGTGTATTTCTGGAACAGGAACTCTATTGATTCACGCATTGCTGCTCTAATGTGCTACCTGCACAAAGCAGCTCATACAGAAACAGTGATTGCGTAAGAGTTCTGAGGCTGTTCTGTAGCACAGGAGAGCCCAGCATGGACTGCCTTGTGCTGTGTGTAAGGCTTTGAAATTGTGGTGCTTCCTTCAAGGCAAATTCGTGTTTTCAGAAGGCAGGGAGGGGTGAAGAGCATGAGAAATAACTGTAAGCCGTTATCTCTGATAATGCAGTTTCTCAAAATGAAGGTTCTGTTTTCAGAATATGGTGTGATGGTTTTAGGTACTTATGATGTGTTACACTTTTCTTCTTATAATGCCAGTGACCTAAATGCATCTAGGTAGAATTTAAGGACTTAATCCTTCAGGGGATGGAGGGAGAGGACTTAAATGTTATTTGTTTTGGAAGAATATTAGTAATGGAATGTTATCTGTAAGAGTGCATTTGGAAGAAGGGCTTGTGTTTGTTTAGGTTTGGGTGGGCGGGCATTGCTCATAAAATGTCTGATGCATGGGAGCTTTAATAGTTTCAAAGAACTAATATGTGTGAAGGAATTTACTAGGTTTTGATGTGTAAACCATAACCTGCTGGATATTATTCTCAGTTTTTTTACTAAGAATTGTCTGCCTAAAGGAATTTGCTTACATAATTGTTTATCGTTGTTAGAGAGATACTTCTCTGTCAGTAAATAGATTTCTTGCAGAAGAGAAACATGTTAATGTAGAGCATTAACCATAGAGAGCTGTCAGTAGCTTCTTTATATGGGAAGGCTTTGAACTGCTTTGCAAACTCCAGAAGAGCTTGCAGTTCTTGTTGTTAACTTAGTGGACATCGAGGTAAAGGATGCTGCTTTCCCATCTCCAGGAGATTTCAAGGATTAGTGAATTTGAGATGAAGAAGTGGAAAGTTCCAAGTGCCTATGTTCGTTCTAGTGTCTTACTGAAATGTGAGATCCCAGGGGCTTTGAGACGCAGGCTGTGGCTGATCCTGCTGCAGCACTTTGACAGTAACATTTCTGTTAAACCTTCTTGGTAGTGGAGTCCTCAGAATAATTCAGCAAAAAGGAATAAATGCTTGTTACCTGCCTAGGGAATTATCCACACTGAACTGCCTGTTGCTCTGTTCCTGCATATATGGCATGTGTTTCCATATTACTTGTGCTAAGTGCAGAGGCCTGATAAGCTGTGGACGAGTGATGTCAATTGAAGCTCATCAGTCACCTCTGTTTCAGGCCTTTAATGGCTCTGTGATGCTTCAGCCATTCCTTGTCCCTTTCTGTTCTCGCTCACCATTGATTATTTAGGACTCACTGTGAGTGCAGTTGAGGGTGTGTTCAATTGGGAAGGCAGATGCTCCACGTGGTGAAGCTGAGCTGGAAGCAAGATTCTGCAGGATTCTAGCAAGTTGTGGTTTTCTGTTGGATAAGTTAATGAAATAGGTATGAGAGGGGGAGAAAATTGCTGCAGACACAGTGGTCTGAACTACTGGGGAGTATTTCTCTGCAGGTGCTTCCTAGGAGAGAATGTCATGTAATTCATTGGGTCCCATCCTAGTGCTTGAGTAGCAGTGGCCAGAGCTGGTAGGAGAAAATTATGGCAGCTTTTCAATGTGGACAGATTTTGTCATCATTTTGGGTTTGGTTTTTTTGTGTTTGTTTGGGTTTCTAATATAAATAATTGAAATAGTATGTGACTGCTAAAGCTGCGTATTTTAGTATTGGTTACTACAAATTTTCACTGTTGCCATCTCTTCATAAGGGGAGGCTTTTCCTAGGAGTGCTGCTTTGTAAAGCAATTTTAATTATTTCTGGTTTTAGGTGGGAGTGGTTTTGTGTTGTTTTTCTCATCTTACTTCTACATCTAATAACTTTTCCTTTACTCCTTTTGTTGCTACTTGTTTCAAAAGTGTTACAGGGTGGTTTGTGTAGTTTTTCAGTTGATAAGAGATACTCTGCGACTTATTAGCAGCATAATACGGTCAGACTGTGCTCTCTGTGTCTTAGGGAATTGTCTAATCCATCCATGAAATTTTTTACCAAGTGCCTTTTCACTGATCCTAAAATTTGGATGTGAGGATGAGAAAATGGCAGAAGAAGCTAATGTAGAGAGAAATTAAGTGTCTGTTGACAAGTACAGGAGTTCATACCAGAAGCTGTTTCCTTGAAACATCTTGATATTAGAACAAGGGATATTGCAGCTTTCAGAGAAGAGACCAGATTCAGAAATCAGATTTTGTCCAGTATCTTTCTCCTTGCTTCTGAGAAGAAAAAGAAAAAAAAAAAAAATTTGATTTTATGTGATTTCTTAGCTGTTCTTGATAAAATACTTCACATAGGTGCCAGTGTCCTAACCTGGATTGTGGGAGAAGTATTCACATTATATAAATTAGAGATGTGTGTGTTTGTGTTTTGTTTCCATGGCTTGTTAGTAGAAAGCCTAATTGTTTTTCTGTATAATCTGTGAAGCAATCAGTAGAGTTTTAACTTCCACAGCCTGATCTGCAATCTGGGAGTTAGCATGGAAAAATAAATCAGACTGATCTAATTTGGACAACTGGTGTCACAGGCATTTCAGCGAGGTGGTGGTGTGGGGTAGGTGTGGGGTCTCTCTCCTCACCTCCATTTGTTAAAATACTTCAGATTTTATCTTGGGAAATAATAGATTGCAAATCTTTGTCCCTGGTGTATGATGTCTCCTTGCCTCTCATTCCTAAAGTAGGGATATTTTAAAGCATTGGAGTGGGAAAGCTTCTGGATAGTTAGCGTACATGTTCTTAAGTGTTTTAATTGCCCTCAGAATCCTTGAGGCAGTACCTGGTGTTTGGGTGCTGGTGGCTCCTGTTCTCCAAGCCAGGAGCTCTGAGGAAGTGAAGCCTGAACACAAAGGTGTTCCCCAGCCAGCAGAGGAACTTGTTCCACGCTTCCATGGCAGGCATTGTCACTTCTTGTAGCTTTGCACACTTAAAGAATTTCATTGTAGCTTATCAAATAGTCCAATCTGATTTAATTCCTCTGGAAATATCAAGTAATTATATTTATAAATTGGTGACACTTTCGTGTAATCTTAAATATTTAATGGTAAAATTAAGAAATACTGTTATTGCAAGGGAAAGTAAGATTTTTGGTGTTTTGTCATCAAGGTGCACCTTGTAGCACTTACTGCTGCCAAGAAATCCAGAGGGTGTGTAAAATTTTCAGAAATTTTGTGGTATACAAAGGAAAGATTTACACAGTATTTTAGAAGTAGTATTTACCTAAAATTGCCAATTCAAGAGACAAAAAATAATGCCTATTTCTTTCTTCTCTTCTGTCAGGTTTGCAAATACTACCTTTGTGGCTTTTGCCCAGCTGAATTATTTACAAATACCCGTTCTGATTTAGGTAAGTTTATAAGTCTTGACATTTTTATTCACTTACATGTAATTACAGTTGAGCTTTTGTTTGCAAACTACATTTTAATTGTTAATTGCTCTGTCAAGACACTTTGAAAACAGGCTTTTTTATTCTTAAAGTGTTGCCAGTGATATAATATGCTAAGAACAATATTTATTCCAGTTCCTACTTTGTCTAAGTGGAAAAAACTTTATAAAAATTCTTATGGTACACTGTAAGCTGAATTACTGGGTTGGGGTGGTTTTCTCCTGCTGAAGTATTGGCTTCTAGTTTGATTTACTCTGCCTGAGCAGGGTTTTAACTGTTTTTGTGTGAATTTGTTATTGAGCTTCTTGAGACTCATCTACTGTAGTAGTTATTTCTGAAAACCAGCTCTAAATTACTGATGGCTTTCAAGCAATGGTAGTTTGGAGATGGTAAGTAAGATTTCTTGTCTTAGAGTTAATTTCTAAGTTCATTGAAGAGTTTGAGAATCTGGGGAAGGTTGGAAGTTTTGACATGACTCCCTTCATGAACTCAGGGCACATACCTCCTGATTTTACTCTGAAGATCAGTGTTTTAAGTAGCCAGCTTGTTGCAGAGAACACTGGAAATTAGAAAGTGCCTGATGAAATTACCCTCCATATGTAATTTTTCTTTAATTGTTTTTTAAGGCCCTAAGTGTTTAAGATATTACATTGTTTTTTGAGATTTACTGATGTAAAACTTGATCTGGAGATTCTGTTTTACGTGAAGACTTTATATGTCACTCAGAGTCTGTTTTGGTTTTATAATTACTAAACCATACTGACATTTTTTTTCTTAATGTGTCTTTCAAGCTCCAGGCAAAGGAAGCAGAAAGGCAGTAGCATAAAAGTCCCTGGGGAGTGTTTGTAGCTCTGTTCTCTCATGGTGCACAAACAAATGCTGATGGAATGTGAATACACCACTCAAGAATGCAAACTTAAACTTTTTGTGTTGTCTTTTTAGGTCCTTGTGAAAAAATTCATGATGAAAATCTACGTAAACAGTAAGTGTGTTGGTTGATATGTTAAAGCAAATAGTATTTTTGTTTGAAATTTGTTAAAAGCAACCCAAACACGACAAAGTAATTGCTTTTTGATTTATGTAAACATTTATATAAATGTATAATACTCTCTTACTGAGAATTTATAATACTGTGTGTTTTGTTACTTATTTTTCATCTGTGGTGGATCGATGTGAACTTCTGTTTGTAAAATGTTTTACAGGTATGAGAAGAGCTCTCGGTTTATGAAGGTGGGCTATGAAAGGGACTTCCTGCGCTATTTGCAGAGTTTGCTGGCGGAGGTGGAGCGCAGGATCCGGAGGGGCCATGCCCGCTTGGCACTGTCACAGAACCAACAGTCATCTGGGGTGAGTCTGGCAGAACCATTGAGGCAGCTGTTCCTGCAGATAGCATCTTTGTGGTCCCTTTACCTTACCTTTCCAGGTGAAACATACTGTTCTAGAAGATTCCTTTTAGATGAGTCTCTTCATCTGTTAGCCAGCAGATTGCATCAAGCCCTAATGGATGAGCCAAGTGGCTCTACAATCAGCCAGAGCCCCTCTCTTTTTCCCCCATCTGTTTATTTAGAATCAGTATCTCTTCTCTGTTGGGAATATTAATCCTGTCAAATATTGTCTTTGCCCTGACCACCCCAGTTCACCCTCTCTCCCTTAGCTGAATATTTCTCCCCCCCTGCATTAGTAAGCTGCATCTTTTCCCATGATGGGTTTGGAGCAGTGGCTCTGAGTCTCCATGCTCTGTGAGTTTTGTGACTGCCAGGACAGCCTTGCTCCTTTTTGCTGCCCCACCTAATTGTTCTGTGCAAAGTGCAGTTGCCTCAGAAGGAGCTGTGGACAGTATCCAGTCAAGAGAGAGACTGGCTGTGGAGCAGAGCAAAGCTGGGAGGGAGACAGCAAGTCTAATTTAACAGCCTGCAGAGAGGACACTGCTAACAAATACATCTTGGAACTGAGATTCTTTTTGAATTTGTGCTCAGAAGTTGAATTTCAAAGCCCACTGAACTTCTAAGTCATACTTGAATGCCTGCAAAGATATGTAACAGCTGCATGGCAGTTTCAGAGTTTAAATTTAGGACTTTGAATTTGGATATCTTACCTTTTATGGGCCAGGACCTTGAACATTTTTGTTGATTTAGGAGGAATTAGTGTGACTAGACTCAACAAGGGTGGAGTAAGCTGTGTCAAGCAATGTTTTATGTTAGAATAGACTATTATTAGTAGCTCCTTGTGGGAGAAGAGGCAGGAGGACGTTATTCCTGAATTGTCTCTGAAATATGAGAGGACATACTTTTGTGTTTTAGAACTGTTTTGGCAAAAAAAAGGAAAAACCAACAAGCAAATAAAAAAACCCCAACTCACACTTGTACTGTTTGCAGGGAGCGGGACCTACCGGTAAAAACGAGGAGAAGATTCAGGTGTTAACTGACAAAATCGATGTACTTCTACAACAGGTGAGGATTTTTTTACCCCCCTTAAGAGAGATCTCTTGCTTTTGTTACTTGATCAGAAGTTTTACACTTGAATTTTTTTATTGTCCTTTAGATTGAAGAACTGGGTTCAGAAGGAAAGGTGGAAGAGGCACAAGGAATGATGAAACTTGTTGAACAGTTAAAGGAAGAGAGAGAATTGCTGAGATCTACGACTTCAGTAAGTAATGTGTTTGTTTTCTGTCAGACATTTCAAAATTTGGTGCAGCAGTACATTCTGAATAACCTTGTCCTTCCACTGAAGGCATGCAAGGTCTGTGCAGAATTGATTAGATAATAACAGGGCATTTAAACATGGTAGTCCAATGTGTTATTTTGCATTCCACCTTGACAGTGGGTGTCCTGCACACAAATTGTGAAATTATTCACCCAGCAGTCCTGGAGGTGAGCTTGCACCTTACTCTAGTCCTGGTCTCAGTTAAACTTTGTCCTGTAGCCTTTGCAATATAATTTTACTGAATTACCAGTGTGACTGTTACAGAAAGCCCTTGTAACAGGGCTGTGACTACAGAGAGGCATCTGTTGGACTGTGAGAGCCACAGACGTAATGTGTTAAGTAGCAAATTCCTGTCAGTAAAAAGGACCTTAAGTTTAAACATTATATTTTGGTGTTTAATGAAATGCTCAAATTGAGAGTCTTATTTTTCAAAAGTTCTTAAACGTTGCAGGCAGTGTGTTTATATCCCTAGTGTGTGATTCATGACCATTGTACAGCAGTGATCACATTTGGGTTTATGTTGACATTTCAGTGTGTTTCTCATGTCTATTTGACCATCAATTTGATGGTCATCTTTTTAAAGAGAAGCTCAGCATTCCTTTTTTTATTTCTTCATGGGATATTCTAGCCTTTTGATTCCTTGAGACATATTCCATGGTTATTGTGCAGCTCCTGACATCTCAGTTGATGCAAAAGAAATCATCTTAAAACTGAAAAGGAAAGCTGTAAAAGAGAAACTTAGGATTTTGTTTTTCTGAGATTGCAAGGAAGCTGCAAATATTACTGTGTACATATTAATGCAGCGGGAAATAATTCTCTGGTTTCTAATGGACTCCTTCCTTGTGGCTCACATGGAATGGGTGTAGGTATCCTGTTTTTGCCCTGTTCACCCTGATAGGTGCAGTGCCCTGAAGACAAAGCAGGCAGATACAATTTTCAGCTTTCATTAGTGCCTAGGCTTTGACAGCAGTAACAATAAAGTTCTAAAACTCTTCACTGGCTTCTGGCTAAAACTTTTTTTTCTTTTGCCTTATCAAGTGTTTTTCTTTCTGCAGACAATTGAGAGCTTTGCAGCCCAAGAAAAACAAATGGAAGTTTGTGAAGTTTGTGGAGCCTTTTTAATTGTAGGAGATGCACAGTCCAGGGTAGATGACCACTTGATGGGAAAGCAGCACATGGGTTATGCCAAAATAAAAGCTACTGTAGAAGATTTAAAAGTAAGTATTTCCTCCAGTTATTGAACATGCTAAAATTGCTTGGAGGCTTCCTTTGGTACATAAAAGGCTGTCCAGTGGACTTCCTCAAGAGGGTGAAACACTCCAAGGAATGGAATCCTGCACATTAGGACTGTGCTTGACTTGACATGCTTTGTTGTATGTGATTACACCAGGTACAAGCAAAGATGTAAATTCAGGGGGGAATTTTTATGGTTTTGATAAAAAACTGTAATGTGGCCTTTGTTCTTGAGGGAATAACAAGCAAAATAAGTTCTGCAAGGCAAAGGATTTTCATTTCAGGGATTTTTAGGAAGTGCTGTCCTTTGTTTAGAAAATAACACTGAAATATTTTAAAAGCTTAAGCTTCTACATCCTCAGAATCTATAAGCTAAGTATATTCAATGATTTAGCATGACTAATCTTCATTTCTTCCTGTGAACTTGTTTTTTAAGGAAAAGTTACGAAAAAGAACAGAAGAACCTGACCGTGATGAAAGGTTGAAAAAAGAGAAACTAGAACGAGAGGAGAGAGAGAAAGAGAGAGAACGGGAAAGAGAAGAGCGGGAAAGGAAGAGACGGCGTGAAGAGGAAGAAAAGGAAAAAGAGAGGGCTCGTGATAGAGAGAGACGTAAAAGGAGTCGCTCCCGGAGCAGACACTCGAGCAGAACATCTGACAGAAGGTGCAGCCGCTCACGAGACCACAAAAGGTCAAGAAGCAGGGAGAGGAGGCGAAGCAGGTACGTGTGTGTGTGTGTCTCATGTATGTTCATGTAACTTTCCAAAAGATAAAAATCTTGATCTGTCGGCCTGGGTCACATCACTGGTTTGTTAACTTCACTTTCTTATCTCTTAAGCCAGGACACACTTCACTGGTTCTAAGGATAAGCAAGTTCTTGCTGCATGTTCACTGTCTTCTCTCCATTTTTGGAAGTAGATGACACTTTTATGGTGGAAGTGGTTTTATGAGGGAGCTCATAAAAATGCTCCCAAAGAACAGGGTCTCGTTTCTTACTGAAGTTGGCCTTTATTTCTTGGTGGTAGATAATTTTAAGGTGTGTAGTTAAATATTGGAGTAAATGAAGAGGGCAATATGAAGCCAAGTGTAATGTACTGAGAATTATTTATATACAAGCTGTTAAGATTTGTTTTCTGCAAATAATATATTAGAAAATGCTAGTTTCACTGCTTTATATACTGAGTTAGGAAACAGCAGCTGAGATTGACATTTTTGAAATCTTCTCTGAATGTTCAGGAGTCGTGACCGAAGAAGGAGCAGAAGTCACGACAGGTCAGAAAGGAAACACAGGTCTCGCAGCAGGGACAGGAGACGGTCAAAAAGCCGGGATCGGAAATCCTACAAGCACAGAAGCAAAAGCAGAGAGAGAGAACAAGACAGGAAGTCAAAAGAAAAAGGTATGTTTGTGTAAAGACTGAGTTCATATCAAGTTCTAACACTAATCTTCCCTTAGGGTCTCAAAAGCTCTTAGTCTTTCAGTGAGTGACTGAAAGCTCTTAGCATCAAATCAGATCTGGTTTTATAAGCTGTGTATGTTGCTTTTAACCAATTTGGAGCGTTTTTTTTCAGTTACTGTTACTGCACGTGTGTGCATATGTACACTCATCTCTTACCTGTTGCACTTTGTCTGCAAATGAAGTGTGCAAGGATTTTTATATATTTTAAGACCTGTTTGCCTTTAGGAAAGCATAAACCTGTAATCATCATTTTCTAAGAGTGAGTGTCTTATATTCCTACTGCTAGCAGATTTTTCTGATATTAGCCTTTGCAGGTACTTGTTTTGTGGGAGATTGGTACCTGGCTTTTCACCTGTACCATCTATTACTTCTTAACACTGTCATATTTCCTTTCTTATCCTTTAACAGTACTTTTAAGGTTGGTTTTTTGTTTGGTTTTTTTTTCAATTTATAAATGCAGTCCAGGATAAATCTTGCAGAATTTCTGTAATGTTGTAAATGACAATTCATGCCTTCTCCCCAGTCTCCTGCTCTTTCCCCAACCCTCCTCCCTTGTTTTTTGTTCTGGGTTTTTGTTTGTTGTTTAAATGAAGTGAGTTTTGCTTTGTCAGTATTCAGGTGAGTCTCAGCAGAAAGCTGTGTTAGTCCTTGGAACGCTTTTATAGCTGTACATGCCATGTACCACAGCACTGATGGTGACTCACTGCTTCACCAGAGGCTGGTGCTCAGAAACTTTAAGTAGAATTAAAAGGAGCTACAGAGAGAACACTACAGATTCCCGTTTTGTGAGAAGATACTAATTAACTGTTATTGCTAAATTTCCCCCTTTAAAAGCCTTTTGAAACTTCTGGAGGAACGTAGTACTTCTGGCTTAAACCACAGGCTCTGGGGAGCTGACTAATGCCAGTCTGAAACAGCCACCCCACTCCATGGGCTGATCATCAGTAATGGATGAAACTATTCTTTTATGTTTCTAAGGTACTTTTGAGGTTGTCTGGAATGAAAGGTGCTCTGTGCATGTTTCTGGATTCCATAGGCCTGTCTGCCCGACCCTTACTTCTCCATATTTATCCAGCGGGTTAGTTGCCAATATGTTGGTAATGCTTCATGTGTTTTTCTTGCCTGACTTCCTTGGACTGTTGTAATTTTTCTGGTTTATACTATGGGGCATCTTCAGTATTGATTCTTCTCTCACTTTCCTTTGCCTTATAGGCAAGTGGATTTAGCTGCTTGCTCGTTGGCAGTGGAACTGATTGCAGGCTTTAAACTCAGACTCAGTGTTGTAGTCTTTATCTGTTACTCTATTCCTACCTGATACTGTGCCCTTTTTTGCCTGCCTTATGAACAGATTTCTGGTACTTGGTCAAGAATGTCCTGTTCTTCTGAATGTGTGTATCTGTGCATATAAATAACTGTTTTCTTATTTATTCAAATTTGCTCTGGTTTTGAGCTTTTCAGTTCTTTCCTTTATCTCCCCATAAACAGAGGAGCTAGTGAACTTTTCTTCAGCATCTCAGTATTTTCAGTTTTAACTTGACTGATTTCTTTGCTGGCTGTTTTATTTGCTGCTTGCTACTTTCTTCCTCCAGAAATGAGAACAGTGAGGTGATGCTATGAGCTGTGATGAAAATTCCACCTGGGAAAATCAATTATTTTGTTTGACTACGCAGTCCTAACTTTTGTAGAAACACAAATAGGCCTTAGAGCAGGATTGTAATGCTGAAGAAGTTTGTGGTTTTCCTTTTGCTGGAAAAACCTTAAACAGAAAAAAAAAAATACAAAAAAGGTGTGGGGGAGGAAAAAAACAAGGCAGTAGTAGTTACTAAGCAAACATTGAATTTCTGTAAGCATTACATCCTCATGTTTGCAATGTGGCACTGTAGATAGGTAGTTAAGTGGAGAGCTTTAGAGATTCATATATTTGAAGCATGTGGCTTCCTGCTCTACTCTTTGCACAAAAAGTAGTAATATAGAAGTTAAGATTTCACTTGCTACATTTGATGCTCCATTGGGAATATTGGCTTCAGAACCTGGTTGTCTTTATAGCCACCACTAATCTGTAGTTACAAAAGTAAGCAGCAAAGGCCTGGCTGTAACTGCTCATGTAGTGCCTTCATCTGGAAATCTCAGGCTGCTTTATAAACAGAACTCTTAACACCAAAAAAACAAGGCACAGTTGCCCAAGGCTTGCCTACCATTACATGTTAAATTAGTGCCACACTTTAAAAATTCAGAAGTCCTGGGTTCTTGTTCACTAAAATACTGTAGAAGACAGCAACCAAGGTTGTAAGAAAAAAAATCCATGCTAAAAGGGAGGCACTTAATTCGTAACTCAGCTTCCAGGGACAGGGATACATTTGCTAAAGGAGGGAGCCACCAGCCATAACCACCAGCTGAGCATTAGCTTAATGTAAACCAGCAAAACACAGCTATTGTTCAAGTAAACTAACAAGAGTAGATGGAATAAATAGGGGTTTTTAATAAGAAAAGGAAAACTGTTCTCCAAGTACCTTTATTTTATGAAGGATTAATACTGGAATGGGCCTCCAGACCACTTTAGCTTGGCTCTTTACCTTCCTTAATCTGGATTCTGATACTTTATAAGAATAATTGTGATTGTGTTTTTGTATTAGTGATTAAACCTCAGCAAACACTGCCAGAACACCCAAACCCTCAGTGATACTGGATATTATGTTTGACTGATTTTTGCATTCTCTGAACAGTAGAACCATTCACTTTGTCGTGGTAAGAATTCTCACAAAATACATATCAGTTGCCCACATGAACTCCATCAGAAAAATGTGCATGTGTTGAATCAGGAAGCAAAGTCAATATTATGTGATTATACCTAATAGATCACAGCTGAAATAATACATACAGTTTCAACAGAAAACTAACTGTATATGCTTTTAAAGAGAGAACTCTTACTGATTAAAAAAATACAGTGGAGGAACTTAATTTCTTGCAGATATTCCAGAAGTTGAAAAGTTCAGTTATTGAACTATTTGTTGAATACCCTTTTTTAGTTCTGCTTGGCGAACTGGAGGTTTGCTCTGGTAAACCTATTTTATTACTAAAATTTTTTAGAAGAGTTTCACCTCTCATACCACAGTTTAATAGTAGGTTTTTTTAACCTTAAACCAAATTATCCTTCCTGACCAAACTCAAGAAAACAAACAAGACAGAACAAAACCCTGCACACTGCACATCCATAGGGCTATTAAGATCTACCATATCTACATAGGACAGAAGATAAGATTATTGGACTGACTACTAGTCCTCTGCGGGGAAACAAGACTACTATTCCTCAGTGGATCTACGTGTGCTCCGGAGATACCTATAAGACACAAAACGAAGACTTTGTAACAAGGTTAGTTAGAGTGCAATCTACCTGCGGAGTTGCAAACCCGAGGGCAGACAGATCCAAAATGACTTAGTCCTCCAGTGAGCCGTGTGACGTTGCCGTGTGCTTTCTCCAAGCACCCTGCCCTGGATGTGCTGCTGCAGGTGAACCCTCAGTACTGGTGGTCATTTATTAGGCAGTTGCCCTCATTTCTGTGTGGGGGCCTTACCCCTTCCTTTGGTGGTCTGGTTTAAAACAAAAAAAAGGTGGGATGTTGCTGCTCTTTTAAAAGCTTAATTTCTTGCTTTGTTTTCTGGAATATAAAAAGTGTGTTATGCCAGTCTAGGTGATAACGTTATTTAAAATAGCTTTTTCAGAGTGTTCGATCTGTGGGCTCCTGTGTTGGGGATTTCTGTATCTATATTATTTATTTTAATTGCCCGGATAGCAGGGAATAATCAGAAAAAAGAGCATGAATGTTGTTCTGTATGATGACATCTGAGAGGTTGGTTTTTTGGATATTTTTTTTTTTCTTTCCAAAGTGTCTTTACTGATCAAGAGTTGAATATTATGGTTTGAAATAATACAGAAAGAATTGATATTTTTATTAAATTTGCAAATACTGAATTTACAGATGAGGCACACAGCTCTAATACTGAATGTTTTTCTTCCCATGGAAATATTTTTACTTCTGGCTTCCTTCCTTCTTTGAAGATTAGTGAGGAAAAGATGTTTTTTTCAGCAGTGTAGCAAATGCTTCAATCGGCTTTCCAATTCATGATGAAATTGTGGGGTCCTTCCCATCTTGCTGTTTCTTTGCCTTTGGAAAAAAATGGCTTTTATGTATCTTCCAAATTGCCTCCCCCAGCCTTTTTAATGAGTGGTTTATAAATGACTGATGTTTTTATAAAGTGGAGAATTAATAATGCTGACAAACATGGCAGCTTCAAAGTTAATTTTGATTGTCACTGTGATCCCCAACTTCAAAGCTGGCAGTGCTAAATATTGTTTGTTTCCCCAAGTATTTGATAGTTCGGGATTGCTTCTTTTTTAATTGGCAAGTATTGATTTATTTGATAACGCACCAATGCATTGTCCCACCACTCTTTTCTGATTCTCTTTCAAGAACCATATTTAATGAGAATTGTACATCAAAGAAGGCCATACACATCAGAAATTAAAACTTGGGGACCAAAAGAGTCCCAAATAAGTAAGGAAGCCATGCACCATAATTACACATTTGCCTAACCTCTTTAACCCCCTATTTGTATATTCTGACAGAGAGCTGAGTAGCTGCCTCTGTTAGGAGGTCTGACCTTTCTCCTCTTTCCCCCACCCTCCACTGTCCCCTTTTACCTTAATTTTGTCCCCTCTCCATTCCAGCATGGTAGTCTGAAGCCTTTTTCTGTAACTTTATGAGTACTACTGTTATTGCTATAAAAGTAATTGTCCAGTATTGTATGCAATATGTATCTCACATGTGCAATGTTTGTTTTTACTTTGAAATCCATGGTCAATGTCTTCTTTCATGGCAGAAAAGAGGGGATCTGATGATAAAAAAAGTAGTATGAAGTCCAGTAGTCGAGAAAAACAGAGTGAAGACACAAATACAGACTCGAAGGAGAGTGAGACTAAGAATGAGGTCAATGGGACCAGTGAAGACATTAAATCTGAAGGTGACACTCAGTCCAATTAAAACTGATCTGATATGACCTCAGATCAGACAGAGGTAAGTGCATTATTTCAAACTTTGATTAGGGCTTTTTGTTACTGTTTAACAGTGCAGCGTAAGTATGCACAGATGAAGATGGAACTAAGTCAAGTAAGAAGACAAACTAAAGCACCTTCTGAAGGAAATGACAGTGTAGTCCTGCAAAACATTTTGAGGTACATTGTTTTGTCTCAGCTATTTTGTAGCAGACTCGTGCCCCCATTAGTGTGCCTCTTTGGGACATATTTGTAATATAGTCACCATAGAAAAATTAATTATCTTTTTTTTAATTTTTAGGGATTTTGTTATCGTTTTTTTAAAAAAAGTTGAACTGTTTTTGTATTTAAGTCCATATTGTGTTGGTACATCAGCAGAAACTTTTGCTTTAATACTTAATATTTGAGGCACATGTTGGACTACTTTGTTTTCATATAAACTGCTAGTATTTCTTTGTCAAGGATGTTTCTAGTTTTTTTGCTTTATTGCCTTGCATTCTAATGCAGTTTGTTCTGTAACTCGAGAGCCAGTAGCATTGGATTGATGGAAGTGTAGGGTTTATGAATTATTGCAGCTGACTACCATACCTCACACAGCGTTGGTGTTGTGAGCGGCCCATGAAAAGCCAAATTAAAAATCAAGGATTCAGTCAAACTAAGCAGGTACTCATGCCAGGTACTCCTTTCTCTACCCACATCCATGTTTGAATGCTGTTGCCTGTAATCTTTAAGCTTACTGTTGTGTTTTTGATTTTGAAGATAGTGCAAAGGACTTTTTTGTGTATTGTGTGAATACTGTAAATCTGATGTTAACAGAATGGAATTTTCTTTCAACTGTGTGTAGGGATGCAGTGCTGCCCAGAATTAGATATCTTTAAAGAGTTTAAAATGCAATAAACACTACATAATAATCGCCTTGTTACTTTCAATGCAATTCAAGTCTTTAAGAGGTATGTGCTTAATATTTCCTACTGTGTAGGAGAATTTGCAGTCAGCCATAGCACAGAGCAGTGGAATGGCTGTAACAGGCTTGTAAGGCAGATGTAAATGCAGAGACAGATGCCACCAAATGATTACAGTGTTGATGGCAGGAATGTATGCTGGAAACTGTTTGTGGGAAATGAAGCAGCTAAACAATAGGCAATACAGTACTGTATTTAAAGGAAAACTTGCAGTTTTTTCCCCATGCTTGACATAGCTTTCTTACAGAAGGTCTTTAGTTGTATTCCTGAAGTAAGGAACTAACAGTGGAGAGTTCAGCTGATAAATGAGATTCTTGCAACATAATTTGTTACTGTAGTTGCATTATGTATGCTAGGAACTCTTAAACACTTAATGTTGATAATTAAACCATTAATGCTACATCGTTGCTTCTAAAGCCAGTCATGGTCAATGGTGATGTTTTTGTAGAGTTAAGATGACAGCTAACAATTGGGCCAATGTATAGGAATGGTAAACAAAATGCTCATAATGCTGTCTAATCGTCTGTTCTCCCAAAATTTTGCATTATAGGACTACTACGTGAAGAGTCTGCGAAGACAGCGGAAGACAGCTTAAACTGAAGATCTGCTTTAAAATGAGGTGAAAGAAAGCTGTAGTGGCGTAGAAAAATATAAAGTTGAGTTAGAATTTTTTTTTTTATAAAATTTAATTCAGGACTGGTGTTTCCTCCCAGAGTTCAGAAAGATGTGTTGATAATAGCACATATGCTACTGAGAATATAAGTCCTGTATACTTTTTTTTTCTTTAAGACTTTTTAAGATAAGAAGCCAACATAACCTGAACACATGGCTTGCTCAGTGTTTAATTGCAAGTTTTCATTCTTGGACTTTAAAACACAGGAATAAATGTTTAGTATTTGTGTGAATCGAACTAAAATGAATCCCATTTTTACAACTAAGCTATTCCTAGCTTCTTGATATACAAGAAATGGAAATAAAGTATCTTTGAATTTCTGTTACAAATTTGATTGTCTCTGTCATTGAACGTTTAATATTAAATAAGTTTCTTTCCTAATAAATCTACTCATGTCTTCAAGCTTAGTCCATTAATTTGGATGCTTAGTTATTCTGTGCTGTTTGTGGGTTTGGAATTTTTTTGGTGCCATCAGTATTTAATTTCAAGGTCACTTTTCCAGCAGTTGGATGCTGTTGGGTTCAGTGCCCGCTAAACAGTGCGGCTTATGCTGCAGTTGGTTACATTATAGAAATCTTAATGAAAGTGCAGATATTAAGTCTTCATAGGGCAGTTCAACTTTGAAAGCCTTATCAGGAAGATGCCAGTGCTGGGACTGGCCATGAGACCGCCCCATATTTGCATTGCAGTATCCACTTGGGATATTGATTAACAACCATATGCAGTTGGTAAGCAGAGTCTGCATGTCAGACAAATACGGGGGAAGGAGATGTGCCTTATGCTTCTGTGTGAAGCTGGAGTGCAAGCAGGACTAGAAGAACTGCAACCTGTGCTAGTTGGTGCTGTGGCTGCAAGGCATTGAATTTACATTCTTTAAAAAGCATTATCCTTCCCATTAGTATTCAGGACATGACTGTCCATGTAACCGAAGTCAGACATGGACAGAGCACCATTGTGAGTTGCTTGTGCTGATTGTGGTGTGCCTTGTGTGGCCTGTGTGTGTGCAAGTGCACTCAGAATCTGCACGTTGGTTACTGGTGAGTAGTTTTGGGGTTTGGATAAGGGGGTGATCCCACTTGCAGACAGCCATGATCCATTCTTGACTTTTATTGTCCTAAAGCAGGTACACATGCAGGGGCACAGGGCATTGAGACTGGGTATGGTGGGGGGTTTGGAAAAAATAATGGAAGTGGGAGCAAGTAAAATTATAAACAAGTTTTAGTTGCAGACACCTTCCTTTTGAAACTCGTGATGCGAGACTCAGCCACTTCTTTCAGTGGCAAAAATGGTTGTCTTGTGGTTGAATATGTTTGTTACAGGACTTACATGTCCCATTATTTTGCAGAAGTAAAAATGATAAAATGGGGTACCTTGTATCTGGGATTCACATTCTGACATGTCTGATAATGGAGTCTTTAGTGCTTTGAAGATGAAGGAAAATTCTGTTTTGCAGAGCATAGGAAGTCCAGATTTGACTGAACGAACATCTCCACCACAAGTTCATCTTTGTGAGAAGTATCTTCAAAGCGCAAGCCTAGGATAAATACCATCCCAGATTTTCTAGGAATGCTAAGCAAAATGCAAGTAGCTCATTTAAAAGTAAGCACCTCTTACGTGCTTTTTCTGTACTGTTTTTTGACAGCCTGATAGCCTTTTATTGGGTGTTAAAAATGTACTGACCTGCAATTTTTTGAAGTTGTGTTAAAATTTTAAGAGTTTCCTGTCCACTCTTAAGTGACCCCCACTCTGAAAAAGGAAGAGATTGAGGTATTTGAAACAACTGATACTTTATTATAAGTGAAGAGTAGCAATGTCAGTTCAGTACAAGTTTGTAGTGCAAACAAAAGCAGTCCTTGGAAGAACGGTAAGTTTTGTAAACTTAGTCTCAGTTGTCATACCAACAGTTACTGTTCAAAGAAAAAGACCCAACAAAAACCAGTAATTAGTGTGCCTTAGAGTTTATCAAACTGCATAAAACATACAAAAATATTTCTCTGAATGCATAGACTTATTACTGTTGTTATTACAGTCAGATCGTGATTAAAGTTTAAGTCTTAACATATTAACAGTTATTCTTGGTGGAAACTAGAGCAAATAAAGCTTTTTTAAACCAGCTGCTCCTATAGCAGAATGTTCAGTAGTTAGTGGAAACAGTCCTTACACTGACTTCCTAAATAAAGGAATGGGAAATTAGATACTCTTATTAATTTAGAGCCATTTAACCACTACTGTTTTTCAAACAGTTATTGCACATAATCTGAGCTATCTCCAAGCTATGCTGGAAAGATAAATACACAATTGTTAAAACCTCCTTTCCTGTCCTACAGAAAAACAAAGTGGGAGCCCTAGTTAGGAAATTTTACTTCATACTGTGTCACAGTCTTGAGCTTCCCAGGAGTTGAATGTGGCATTAAAGTAGCTCAGCTCCTGGCTGGAGAAGGGCCAGGATTGAGAGTGGAGAGTTAGCAGGGTTGAGGTGATAAGATGTATATGGGCATGTGGGGCAGAGGATGATAATTATTTTGAATACAGTAAGAAGGAATTTTAAGCCTAAGTAACTTGGTGAAATCCTGAACTCGTAGTCTCTGCTGGCAGAAGGGGTTTCTGTGTTCTCCTGGCATGCAGAAGATTTACAGACTGACCTTGGGGGAGCTCCTCAGGGATAAAGCAGGACACTGGGAGAGTCTAGCCATGCTGCTCCTACCAAAACATGGTGCTGGTACTATTTATAGTCCGACTGTCGACACTGCAGTGCAGATCAACAACAAACACAGCACCAGCTGTGCAGAAGCTCTGCTCTAGTGCAGCTTCATAAAGCAGAGAGGGAAGGAAAATCAATACAACGGGGAAAAGAGGAGGGGAAGAAAAATCAGCTCATGCAGAAAAAGTCCCTTGCCCCTCCACCCCCCTCAGGACCCACTTAAGGTTTTTGGTGCAAAGGTCAGCATCATAGTTTTTGGTACAAAAGAAAACAAAAAGCCTCCAAAGTGTAGCTTTGTAGGCTGCCATGTTAACAGGAAAAGCTTCAGCCTGTTTATACTCCAGCAGTGCTGCGACTTAAATACTTTGTTCAACCCACAGATGGATGTTAACTGACAAAAAGCAACAGCAGACTGTACATTGTGTAAAGTTAAGGTTAGGTACTTGCTTGTGCTGTGTTTCCCACTCAGTCTGGCTCACAAGAGCGTGGTTTGCTCCCTCCAGCTGTGATCCCTCACAAGAACACTTGTGCTTCCACTGCTCCTCAAACAGCAGAAATCACCACACACCCTGTAACTGCTGTGTGAGGGTGGGCCACAAACAGCTTACCTGACTGCACTGGACTAACACCTGGTGGGAGCAGTAAACAAATATAAACACAGATTGGGGGTCCCCTCCCTATCTCCTGAAGCATAAGGGCTTTCCCTTGAAAGGGCACTTCAGGTTGTTTTGTGACTTAATTAAGGAGCATTTAAGAGAGGCTTCTGTATTATCTGGTGGAGGGATGCCATCACTTAAGGTGCAATATTCTGACATGGGAAAGAAACATTTAATTGTGGACACACTCCATTTATTTTCAGCCCAGTTAAAAGTGTTTCTCCTGTCACCTCAGCATTAAGATGTCAAGATAACCCATCTGGGTGAGTCTTTGGGAAGGGGCAAGAGATTAAGGATTGCACCTTTCACATTTTTAGGGAGCAAGTGTTCATTGTCTGCTAGATATACCCTCTGACATTTAACTTAATCAGGAACTTTAAAATACACACACACACACACACACACAATTTCCTGAATCTCCTTTCCCTGACTCTGATTTGGTCAGAGTGGGTGTATTCAACATACTTTTTGTATCAGTAATTACGTCTTTCCTGCCCTCTCCTGCCAATACAACCAATAAACTTCTTGAAATAGGTTGGAAGCATGTGATTTCTAGTAGACAAATGAGGTATCCCTTAGCTGAATACAGTATCAAGTAAAAAAATAAAAGCAAAGGGGATATTAAATATAAAATATAAACTATTAGTTAAAATAGTAACCCTAACAATAACTTAAGGTTTTATACACACTCAGCTCCCTGCTTTCCAAAGGCAGCAGCCTGTCATTACCAGGTGTTCACATTCCAGATGCAGCTCCAAGAGTCAGTAAGTCAGCTTGGATGCTCTGCTGTTGTAGCACGGCCTCTCTGTCAGAGCAGCTGCAGCGTTTCGGAAAGGAGAGCTGTCACTTTTCACGAGAACTAATTCCAGCTCTTGGAAGTCCTGGAGTCTGGCAACATCCTTGTCCTTTTGAAGAACAGACAGAATGACACATTACTCCTAAAAATAGGTGGTGGTTATTATTTATAAAATAGCTAAAGTAAAAACTAAAATTTCAGGGAGGTCACACCTGATGATAGGAATAAATAATGAGAGGGGGAAAAAATCCTCCCAGCATATCTTCTTTCTTTCAAAGAAGACTTGTTTGGTTTTTCTCAAAATGTACATTTTCCTCTGGAATGCCATTATGATTTGCCAGTGTTTGCGTGTGTCACTCACCTGAGAGTTGTGATCAAGCTCATTTATGGACCTCCCGAACGGATATTTTTGGAACAGAAGAGCATGTTCATTTGTTAACAGCATATCTTTAAATTATTCATATGCCAATTTGTGGAGGTTTTTTCCACTTACTGTTTGTTCTTTTTAGGCAAGCAGAGGCTGAGGAGTACATGGCAATTATGTTAAAAGCACTCTAATGCACTGCTTCTGATACATTTTAAAATTCTGTAATAGTTCCATGTGCTTTAGGAGTTGGATACTCTGGGATACTCTGCACATTTTGACAAGAATATTTTTAAGTTATGATGAGATTTTAAGAAAATCCCAGCATCCTTTTGCATCTGTGTGCTGAAGTCAGTTTCTGAGTTTTAACAAAGGTGACATTTTACCAATCTTGTTAGAAAATACCTTCTCTGATGTCTGAAAAGTGCAAAGTCAAGTTAATCTGTGATTTCAATTCTTACCTTTCTTACTAATGTATTGGGGAGCTTTCTGATCTTCTCTACTTGTTCTGGATTAATGCCCAGTTCACAGCAGCTCACTCTGAGCAGATCTTGGTAGGTCAGTTCTTGTCTGTCCAGTTCAATCTCAATGAAGTCATTGTCTCTCAGGTTCTGGACTCTCACCTTAAGCACAAGTTCTGAGAGAAAGGATTAAAAGGTGGTTTAAAAAAAAAACAAAACAAAACAAAACAAACCAACCACAAAGGGCAACCAACCCAAACCTAACACTTCAGTAATTTACCATTATCTTCTGAATTCAGGTTTTGTAATACAATCACTGTGATCTCACTGAGAAATACTGTGAGTTAATAGAAGCTTCCAGCAAAAATACACAGGGGAACCATGTTTAAACTGTTTAACTCTGATCCACCCAGTCATGAAGTCA